GGTGACAAAACTCCCACATCAGAAGCCCAACAAAAAGCTGTATATCTGGTCAACCAGTATACCTCATTCATCTGCATCTCTCTAGATCTCAGGACCCATGCCCTTGTGCTAGTGTTATAGGACAGGGAGAGGGGCAGCCCAAACCCCGCAAACCTGCCTATTCTACAGGGGTTCTGCCATCCGCTGCATCAACACAAAACATAGGAGACTTTAATGGGAAGGAACTTTAATAAAACTAGGAAACAATACAGGTGAGGCAAAGAGTCTAGTTTCTAAATGAAGCACCCAAAGTTACCCGTCCCCTCGTGGGTAAAAGTCCATCCATATGGGAAGGGCCCAGAGCAAGGCCCCAAACCCTGCCACAAGTCTAAAGCATCTTCCAGTGGGGACCCACAGAAAAGGGTCACAAACAACTGGACAAGCCCGGAAGGAAAAGAGCAAAATCAACATCAAGATAAAAGCTGCCATGGTCACCTCCCCACGGGTCTCACCCACATCTGTGTCACCCAGTCCACGACCAAAAGACAAGCGCAGTTTCTTCACGTGTCTCTAGGCTCCATGCGCCTCTTCCAGGTCTCCTGGCTCCATCCTGCTTCCTTCCTCAGTCTCTTCTGCAGCTTCTCCTCTTCCTGCTCAGCTCCACCCTCCCTTGGGTGGGGCAGGGAACCTCCCCCTTTCCTGGGGACCACCCTGTTACACTAGGACCCTTAGCCTCAGGCCAGTGTCCCTGGTACAATTCTGAGATGACTCAGGCAGTGAGGAGACTCTGGTCTCCAGGGCCACCTTCCTTGGTGAGGCCACTCAGTGATGGGGAGGGAGGCTTGGCTTCCCCCTGGAAGCTGGCATGGCCCCTCTGCCTCTGACCCTCTGAGGGTGGCAGAGGCCCTGACCTGGCACGGAAGAGGGTGTGCAGGCACAGGACTGTGCTACACTGCTTCTCCCTGCTCCCCATCCAGGTTTTCCCTTCTCATCTTGAGGGTGATTGTGCACAGAGGGAAAAACAAAGCAGGAGCCTGAGGCACTTGTACCTGAGTCCTGGCTTTTTCAGTGGGTCCAGGCTTCAGTTCTCTTTTGGAAGATTACTAATCACCAGGAGGCAGGAGGTGACAATAGGGAGGTGCTTCCCACTCTTCTGCCTTTGCAAGTTTCAGGACCGGTCCTGGGGCTACTGACATTGGGGGGTAGCTTGGGTGATGATGCCCTAGGGCCACAGGAGGTGCAGCCACAGGTGCTCTGCTAAAAGCCACCCTCAGCTGGCCCAGAGCAATCCAGACAGATCTAGAACAAGGCCACATCATGCCTCCTAAGCTCTTCACATTCTCACATTTTCAGCTCAAGGACTCAGGTTGTCATTTCAGCAACCCCTGTGACCCTTCCTTGCAGCACAAGCTGCACCAACCAACTCATGGGCAGGAACAGGAGTCTGTTTCTACCACCTGTGCTGATGCCTGAGAGAGCCATGAAAACCGCTGGCCTCCCAGGGGCAAGGCCCCACCTCAGGCCACAGGACACTAAATGCTGCTGACCTCACTGGACGCTGACCATTTTCCCTAAGCACTTTCCTTACAGCCTTTCCTGGAGCGGGAATGGCTGTGGCCATAAGTCCCTCGAATTCCCACACATCAGACACTGTGTAAAGAGCTCCCAGGACATTATCTCGATGGTTCTACCAGCTGCTTCCCGGGCAGAACCCGAGTAGAATTTATGGGATTCTAGAGTTAGTGGGGAAGACACTGGCCTACAGGAAGGGCTACTGGTCCAATAGCCACTTGCATTTTATAGCGCAGAGATCCTTGAGTATCACAGGCAGGGAGGGGGACTAGAAGGAAGCCCTCAGGGGCCAAAACACAACTTACAGTGGCCTGGGGAGGCAAGGCCTACCTTCCAAGTCTAGAAGGGTGTGCCAGACTGGCCACAGAGAGAGAGTGCATCCTCCCGAGAGGGAACAGCCATATTTCCCACATGGAGGCGGGGAACAGAAGGCTGCAATCAGACCAGAGTCTGCGGGAATGACATTTCCCATCTGTAATAAACACTTGAGAGGTTTCCAAGCCCTCCCACCTATCTGGGGAAGGTGTTTTAATGCCCAGCTGCTAAGTGGGGAAACTGAGGGCAGAGTACCAGCCAAGAAGGGTTATGGTCTGAACTGGGCGCTGGGCTGTGCTCTGCAAGTGATTCTCTTCCCACCACGGGGGACCACTCTGTGAGGCCTGACTGCCTCTGCTAACTGGGAGCCACACTCCACCAGCTTCCAGGGGCCATGGGTAATGCCCTCCTCCTGGAGAAGGGCTTAAACAGACCCATGGGGAGCCCAGCAGAAGAGTCGGCACACTGTCTCTCTCCAATATGGTGGGTGTCCCCTCTGTGACAATGTACTGCCACCTACAGCTAACTGGTTTTGATCTCACTTATGGGGAGTCTCATCCCCTCCCACAGGTCACCCCAGTGGTTACTTGTGGTCGTCATGCACACCAAGTTGTGCAGTGGAATCGCCAGGAGCCAGCTGCTAGGGCTTGGAGCTCAGACGGCAGCTAAAGCCGGTGCAGGAGCCAAGCTCACACTGGGAGCTCCCACTCACTCTCAATGCCAGGCTGGGCAGTACCTCTGGGATGCTTCTGAGACAACTGAAGTCCTGCTGCCCAGGGTGCCCTCCCAGCTCTGATCACAGCGGCTGGCACTACTGCAGGTGGGAACTAATTTGGTTGGCTTTTGAGGTCTATAGAAATTGTGTGACCCATGGGGACATGATAGAAAATGTAATCAAGTGACTTTGGTTTCCCTCTTCAAGTTGCTACTTTCCCAAGAAACTTAAAAACATACCCTAAGGAGGAGAAAATGCCAGAGCTATCCCTATCCCTGATGTCCACCCCACCCAGGCCCCCATAGGGAGCATAGGCCCACTTTATCAGAGCTGACAGCTACGGGAGAGAGAAGACAGGAAGTGGAGGCTACAGTCTTCCCTGTGATGGGGCAGGGAGTTAGGACCTATGTGTAGACAAGAGTCCAGGCCCAACGCATGGCATGTTCTGTGCCTCAGTTTCCCCACCTGTACAATGGTGCTAGCTGGCCCTACCTCTAAAAAACTGTAGTTTGCTAGCTATCTCTGTTCCCTCCAGAGAGAGGCAACTCTCCCAGGGAGAGGATGACAAGGTGATACAGGAAAAGTTCACCTCCAAGGACAACAGATCCCAGATAGCCCATTTCTCTGGGAACAGAATTCGGAGAAAGGACAAGTTTAAGATGATACCACAGAAAATGATGCAAAGAGAGGACTGACTCATTAACACAGTTCCCTGGCCTCTTCTTGAGCGAGATGTGGGGACAGTAATGGAGAAAGTCCATCTCCTTGTATCCTGTCCTTCCAACAGCAGTCTCAGAACTTCCGAGTGGCTTCCATCAATGCTGGCGCTTGAAACTGAAGCCTGGACCTGGGCTGGGCCCTGGATCCTTCCCTCTCCCCAAAGCCAACTCTCTCTTTCCCTGAACCCAGGAGGACAGCAGAGGCCCACAGCCCCCTCTGTTCAGATGAGGCTTTTCCTCAGCAGTTTTCTCCTGCCCCCAGACAATTCTGACCCCTGCAGTGCTACAGGAATGACACCCTGGAGCCCCAGACAGTGTACCTCTTTCCAATCTCAGAGCCTGAGCACAGGGGGCATTAGGTGGGCGGTCCACCTCAGCTTGGCGGGAGAGCAAGAATGGCCCCTGCCCCTCCAGAAAGCATCAGGTCAGAGCATCGCCTGACAGACCAGTTCTGCAGGACCTACTAAGTGACTGCTGGGACTCAGTTTCCCCACGGCCATTATTCCAATCCAAAGTTTTCTCCCAAGGACAGGTGGGGATAGACAAGAACCTTCCTTTGAAAGCATCTGAGAAAAGGTGTCATCTCTTTGCCCCTGGGGACCCAGGAGCCCAGCCCATCCCGCACGTAAGGAGACCACCGCCCACCACCCCAGAACAGCAGGGCACGGGAGACGCTGTGGCCAACTCCTAACGGAGCAGTCTGCGGGCCAGAGCGCACGCTGCCCGTCCCAGGCCTGGGCTCGGGGACTCCCTGGGTGGGGTGGTCCAGAGAGGCAGCTCCCACCTAGCTCTCAGTAAGGCAGCTGGCTAGCGGGGGACCCCAAACGTGTCTCCTGCCCACCCACCCCCGCCCGCGGAGGAGGTCGACCAAGCCACAGCCGCGCTGGTGGGCGGCTCAAGCCACTCGCCTCCTGGCACAGGCCGGAGGACGGCAGGCATGGCCAGGGAGTGTGGCGCAGTCTCCCCACCCCCAGCCCTCCCAGCCCGAGGTCGGGGAGAGCTTAGAGCCAGCGATGCCTCCCCACCCCCTCCACCGTCCAGGACCCGGATCCTGCGCCCCTAAACCCCGCGCGATCAGCCCCAGCTCGCACCAGCCGCGCGCGCTCACCACATCCCGCGCTCCGCGCCGCGGCCCCAGCCCCGGGCACCGCGCTCCGGCCGTCGGGTGCGGGGACGGGCAGCCCGCTCCTACCTGGGGGGAGACGGCCCGCCGGCCCTGCACCTCGCCAGCCTCCACCAGCCGGCCCCACCTGGCAAGGGACTGTCAGCAAATTCCCCTCCGCATCACCGCGGGAGCAGCATCCCGGCTCCTCCCCGGGAAGAGCCAGCCCTGGCCCCGCCCCGGGGCTGTCTGACCCGCCGGGGAACCCTGGCTGCATTATCATATGCAAAGCCCCAGGCTCCGCCTCGGAGACCCTGTCGCCGCCAGGAACCATCTGCAAATTACCGTCGCTAAGCGCGAGGCTGCCGGGCCCCGGCTGCAGCCCCTTTGCTGTTCTGGGCCGTGGCAGCTGTCTTGCTCAGTGCCCACCGCGCAGCCCTCACCCCCGCCCTCAACTCTCCTCCCGGGCTTGTCTTCCGCTGAAATCTCTCCACCTCGCCAGCCAAAGCAAGGAAAGACACACAACCACACAAAGATAACGGCGCTCTGCCCCGCCCAGGGGCCAGCTCCTGGCACCGCCCCGTGCCTGGTGCACAGTTCCGCCTCCTCCTTCCCCAGCAAAGGGAAGATCTACAGGTTGGCCTGAGTCCTTCCTGGAGGCCCTTGGGAGCGAGCAGACTGAGTCATGGCCAGTTTGTCATGGGCTACTCTCCTGCAGGTAACCAGTTTCCTGGCTAATCTGCCAGAGAGTTTGCTAGAGATAACCAGTTTTGACTGTGGGGGGCAGGTACCAGGGCTTGGATCCCCAAAGAGCAGTATGCAAAGAAAGGGACAGTAGTAACAGCTGCCCTCACTCTTTCCCGGCAGGGAGACTGTGATCCAGGCTGGCAGCACCACAGCTAGTGGGAGGGCTGCCGAACAGTTTCTGACCGTGACTCTCAACAGTTTTATAGCGGTAAGATACTAATTGTTAGGGTTGTTAGCAAGATGATAAAGAAGGCCATAAAGAAGTAGCAGGAACACAAGGTGAGAAGATGCTCTGCTTGCACGGGGTGTCCCCCGCACACCCCAACCAGCAGCACTGTGCCCCCTCCAGGTGGATACTCCCAGATTGTCTCCCTCTGCCTTGTACCTGCCTCCCACCTATGCTCCCTGGTTCTTCTGGCCGAGCCACCCAAGAAAACCCAAGGTGAGCCATTAGGTATATTCTGTCATTCATTTATCGGTGCATTCATGTATTCACTCATTAATTCGTTCATGGCCCAGGAGGGCTTTTAGGATGTGTGTTATGCTATGGCAATAGGAATCAGGGGTCTGAGTGCTAACCCAGCACCAATTGTTAATGTGTTGTACTACAATCTTGGGTGACTTGCTTGATTGCTCTGTGTTTTTCCCTCTCTGCAATACTGAAAGGGCTACACTAGTTGGGGTCTAAGGTCTCTCTGGTCCTAACACCATTGTTACTCTCTTTTGGGAAGGGATTGGTGACAACAAAGATAAACCAAATAAATACAAGAGTAGTGTTTGAGAACTCCAGCTGTCTGGTTTCAAATTACAGCTGGGCCATCTATCTATGGAATTAATCCATCTGCTTCTCTCTTTGAATAAGTAAATGGGTGAAGTAATAATAATAATGACAACTTTAATGGCTGATTGTGAGGATTAAATGAGATCTTGCATACAAAGCTGATGTTCAGATTAGTGTCCCTGTTGCTGTTGTTATGGTACTGGTGGGAAAGAGTAAAACCTGGACACCAGCCGTCTGTCCCCTAGTTCTCTGTTTTCTCATTACAGAACTAGTATCTGACCCCAAGGTGGAAGGAATATGGGTCAAGCTGTTCCTTTAGAAGGGTGTTAAGTGGAAAGAACATGGTCATTGGATCTAGTTGAACCTTGGTGCCCATCTGGGTTCTGTCTCTTACTAGTTGTGTAACCATGCTGTATAAGTTATTTAACCATACTGAGATTAATATCTGTAAAATGAGTGCTGTAATGCAAACAAAAGGTGGTCAATAGTAGTTCTACTTCATTGAGTTGCTGTATGCATAAAGTGCATGTAAGATGCTTAGCTCAGTTTTGCACACACAGAAGATGCCTGATTAATGTTATTCTGTCTCTTTGTAGAAGGACCTGGATAGAAGGTGGAGACATCTTAGCCTTGAAATTCCCATGCTGAGTGGGAGACAATGACTGAGTGTCCTATGAGGAGACTCGGTGGTGGGTGTACTAGTCCAGATGCAGAGTTGGCTTCAGCCACTCTCCACCCACCTTCACCAAATGTGCGCCAGTCTCTGAGCATGCCCTCTGCTGGGATTGGAGGACAGAATGGGAGGCTTGGTCTCCCAGAATGGGAAGCAGGTCTTGGCAAGGCTCAGGAGTTTGGAATTAGTAGGTGCAAGGGAGTCATAGAAAGTTTTTGAGCAGTAGCCAACAGGTGAGATTTTGATCTAGCCACTCTAGGTCCCAGTGATGAGACCTGATAGATGAGCATCAAGGATGATCAATAAAGGGGGGTGCAGGATGGAGAATCCATGGAAGTGCAAGGTGGGCTATACCCTGATGAGATGACCCCAAGGTCCCAACCAACTAAAAACCAGTCACCTGGATGAGCAGGAGGCTGCTTAGTAAAGGTGTGGGAACGAAAATCTGAGTCTTTGTAGCCTTGAGAAGTTTTTAAGGGACAGATTTGTGGGTGCTAAGAACATGTTTCATGCTTGTTCTCATGTGGATTAAGGCGGAAGATCTTAAAAGAAGACCATTATTGTCTCTATGACCTCTTTGTTAATCTCTACTGCCTTATTTGGAAACACATTCCAGAACAACAACAAAAAACAAAAGCCTCTAAACAGCCCAACAACTGTCACACTGTCAAAAATCAGGTGCTTTTTCTTCAGAACACCTGGTATCTTCAGTAAGATCCCCCCTCCATTTTACTCTGCACACAATTTTAACAGATCCAGGTGACAGAGACTGCTTGGTGCCCGGCTTATAGCCTTTCCTCCCCTCTGCCTTTTAGCAGTAGAACTTTCAAGGGTAGAACTTGGATTCATGACTACCCTCCTGGAAACTACATATCCCAGACTTCCTTGCGGCCTGATGCCACAATGGAACTAAGTTGTAGCCAACGATATATGAATGGAAGTGATTTGCTTAACTTCTGAGCCACATTCTTATAAGGAAGGAGTCTGCTCTCTACTTTCTCCTTGCCTTCATACAGATTTGACCTTGGACCTGGGGGTGGGGGCAGGCAGATTTGATGATGATGACAAGGATAACACCCTAAGGTGAGACAGAAAGAACTTGAGTTTCATAATGACCTGGAAGAGAAGAGCCCTGGACCAGTGACTCCCTTAGATTTTTCCATAGAGAGCAAGACCCCTTGGAGAGATTCACTGTTTTGTCTCTGTTAAAGCAGCTGAGCCACTAGCCCAGCTGATAAACCTAGTTTCCCAAATTCACAGCAGATGAGAAGGAGCACCAGAAGGAGAAAAAGGACATATATAGAAAACAACAACAAGCAGACTCAAAAGTTTGGGACCATTTAGTGCAAGGTCACTCCAACAAGCTTTGAGAGCATCACTGTATCACTGGTTAATGCTGGAAAGATGCTCAGAACAATCCTGAATTGCAAAGAGAAGATTAATTCTGACCAAATATTTTATTTCAAAAGGAAAGTGTTTCTGATGAAAAAATGGTTCACATAAAACAAAACTTGTATGCTTAAGGGCAGAAACCTTCAACAACCAGAAAGCTCAGTCATCCCAATGATACCTTTCCTCAGGGGTCAGAAAATAAAGATTTTGATTCTTTGATATTTGCCTTCTCTGCCACTAGATTGTAAATCCTTCTAAGGTCAGATTGTCTCCTTTTTCTTTTTATTTCTAGAACCTAGCACAGTGCCCTGACTCAATAAATACTAGTTAGTGACTATGAGGGTGAATTTATGCTAGATGATAGAGCTTAGCAGGGTAGCAGTAATTTGGAATATTGAACAGTGAAATTGCCTGAGGTCATAAACCACCCCAGTGAAGAGCTGCAGGGGGGTCCATGAGCTCATTGTGACCTTGGGCCTTTGTTGTCTAGAATTATTTCATTATAAACCCTCCCCTGTGCTCGTGAGACCTACCTATAAAGATGACCATTGCAGAACTGGCTGTAACTGCCCACACAATCTGCACACCTGTACATGGCTTTTCTCCCAATGCCTGGATGAGTTCAGGAAAACTCAAAATGAGGGGGCAAAACTGAGAGGCCCAGGAAAGAGAGAGCTTGGCATGCTCACTGCTTGTGTCTCATCAGTTCAACTCTGGTGCTTTCAGCAAAAGGAGGGAGGAACTAGTGTCTCCACCACCCCAAGACCTGGTGCTGGCTGAGACTGCTAAGTAGGGGTCCCTAAGTCTGGAGGTGGTCGGTGTGAGATGCCCCACATTTTGCTCCAGGTTTCAGAGTCTAAATAGATGCCACTGCCAGCAACTTTATCTTCAGGGCAGAACCAAGTCTCTATTCACATCTGAAATGATGGTCCAAATATTTTAGGGTACCCCCTGTCCCCAAGGGTCAAATTAAGACTCTCCAAGAATATGGGTCCATTTTGGGAGTTCTGGCTTCTGTCCACACTCTAATCTGCTTTTCTGGACAGAAGGGTATTTGATTTCCTGTGCACAGGGTAGGGGAGCAATATCTTGGGGTGGAAAACTATTCTTCTAGTGGACACTGACTAACCAGACATGGGTTTGTGGAGTCTGAGAGAAGACAAGACCTCAGCTTAGGTCCAGACACACATCACTGACTCCTCATTAGAAGCTGGCAATTCCCAGGTTGCTGGGACCAGAGTGGAGAAGCCAAGGTCCTATAACCACTTGGCCCTCCATGGCGGAGAACTAACCCCTGGCCCCCCCATAGCTGCTGAGACACCCTGGCACCCTGCCCTCTCAGAGTGAGCCCTACTCACCAGCACCCCACCAGGCAGGTGCTCTTAGCTAGCAGCCATCTCTTTTACGAGTACGTCTCTCCTGGAAAATCCATGACTGTATTTCCTCCACCATCCTCCACCATCAACAGCCACTACCAATATTGAAAACTCCTGGTAGGCCAGGTCAGAAGCTGATGCTGGTGACATCACAAAGGATGTCACTTTTGTACCCCCCGCCTTGCAGGAACTCTAGAAACATTGGAGAGGGAGGGGGTCCCCATACAGAAGTGAGCTAGAGTGTTTCCAAACATATCTGTGGGTATTAAGCCTGCACAGCCATACCTCAATTCTGCCTGGAGCCCAGCTCACGCCATGCACGGTTAGGTCATTAAAGAATACTTGAGTCCTCATGTTGATGTTTTATTGAGACTAAAGTTCCCCCTGAAGCAGATCCTCATGGGATAGAAATGTGACTTTCCTATTGGGTTTCTTCTGGGCTGCAAAGTAGGATGGCCACACTCTTGAAATCAGCTCCATCATGCTCGTTCTACTGAGATTTGACATCTGTAATGTCAAATCAGTAATAAACCCTTGCTTCATTTTATAACCTTTATTAACTTCGTGAGGTATACACATGCAGAGAAAAATATATTTAAAACACGAATGAGCACACTAACGAATAATCGCAAGACAAACTCTTGGGTAACAAGTCAAGAACCAGAACATCATCACCAGGCATTCCTGTTTCCTGATCACACCCTCTCCTTCACTTGGCCGCCACCCCAGAGGGAACCCCATCCTGGCCCTTATGGTTACCCTTCCTTGCCCTTCTTTGTACTTTTACCATCCCTGATCACTATAACTTGGTTTGGTCTTTTTTTAAGTGGACATTTATGGAATCTCAGCCCATATATATTGTATTTACTTTTCATTGGGCTCTTTGGCTCAACATTTTACAGTTAGGATTCATCAGGTTGTGGCATGTAGGTGTAGTTTATTCATTGCTCTTCCTGTGTGGTGATCCATTGTTTGACTGTGTCATGAATAATTTATCCTGATTGGTGGAAATTTGGGTTATTTCTAGTTTTTTTGTTCATTAACTTTGGTTTTTTTTTTTTTTTTTTGCAATATCACTATGCCTAGTACATATTGAGGCTTCTATAAATGGAGAGTAAAAGTGTGGGGTCATACACTGGGGGTGTGTTTCTTCAGCTTTACTAATTAATGCTAAGATGTTTCCCAAAGTAGGGTACTATCAACTTATACCTCCACCAGCAGTGCATGAGAGTTCTGATACTCCACAACCTTTCCAGTGTTTGGCATTGATGAACTTATTACCGGGCTGGTGGGGTTTTAGTAGCGTCTTGTTGTGGTTTTAATATGCATTTCATGAATAATTAATGAGATGAGGCACATGGTCATAAATTTGTTGGAGAACCTTTTTCAGAGGTACTTGTTCAGGCATTTCATTCATTTCTTTTTAAAACTGGGCTGTCTTTTTCTAATTGTTTTGAAGGGTATTATAGAGTTTTTGTGCATTCTAGTTGTTCCGATTATTTCTATTTTATGATGACCTTTTTAGTCTCTGTACAGTGGTCTCGGATGATCAAGGGTCTTTAATTTTAATTTAGTAAAACTGATCTCTTTTTGAAAGGTAACCTTCTTTGGATCACATTTAAAAAACATTTCCCTGCCCTGAGGATGTGAAGATGTTCTCCTGCACTGTCTTTTAAAAGTTTAAAGTCTTTTGTGTTTGCATTTAAGTCTAAAATCTATCTGGAGGGATGTCAGTGAAAGCAGAAGAGGAAATAATTCCAAAAGTCTGCTGCCCCTCCACAAAAGCAACAAATAAGCTGTCAGAAACTGGCATGTCAACTGTTTTGGATCTCGAGAAATTAACCATAAGCTTGAAGCAACCAGGGGAATGTTTAATCAAGAAAAAGCAGCTTTATGGTATTTTAAAATAGACTTTATTTTTTAGAGCAATTTTGGGTTCAAGGCAAAGCTGAGCAGAAGGTACAGAGAGTTCCCATATACCACCTGCCCTCACATATGCACAGCCTCCCCATTATCAGAATCCTACATCAGAGTGATACATTTGTTAAAATAGTGAACCTACATTACACACCATTCTCTCTCAAAGTCCCATTAGAATTCACTCTTAGTGTTGTACATTTTGTGGGTTTTGACAAATGTATAATGACATATACCCACATTATAGTATCAGACTTGATACTTAGAGCCCTAAAAATGCTCTGTGCTCTGCCTGTTCATCCTTTTCTCCCCCTACCCCTGGCAATCAGTGATTCTTTTACTGTCTCCATAATTTTGCATTTTCCAGAATATCATATAGTTGGAATTGTATAGTAGATAGCTATTTCAGATTGCTTCTTTCACTTAGAAATATGCATTTCGGTTTCCTTCATATCTTTTCATGACATGATAGCTCATTTCTTTTTAGTGCTGAGTAATATTCCATTGTCTGGATGTAGCACAGTGGATCCATTCACCCACTGAAGAACATCTTAATTTCTTCTGAATGTTGGCAAGTTATAAATAAATATTTGAAAAGCTTCCATAAACATCTGTATACAAGCTTTTGTGTGGACGTAAGTTTTCGGCTCATTTGATTTAGTAGTAAAGAGGGCAAATTCTGGATTGTGTGATAACGGTATGACAAAACTGTCTTCTATGGAGGTTGTATCATTTTGTATCTGCACCAGCAATGAATGGGAGCTCCTATAGCTTCACATCCTTGTCAGCATTTGATATTTGTCATGTTCTGGGTTTTGATCACTCTAATAAGTGTGTTGTGGGGACCTCGTTGCTGTTTTAATTTATAATTTAATTTACAATTTACAATTCCCTAATGACATATATTGTTGAGCATCTCTTCATTGGTCTATTTGCGATCTATATATCTTTTTTAGTGAGGTGTCTGGTAAGGTCTTTTGCCCATTCGAAATTCAACCAATCCCCTCTTCTGTTCTATCCACCTTCACCTCTGGTAACCACCATTCAGTTGTGGGATCCTAAGCGTTTTCTGTTTGTTAGTTTGCTTTATTTTCTTTATATTCCTCAAGTAAGTGAAATCCATGGTATTTGTCTTTCTCCTTCTGACCTATTTCACTTAGTATAATTCCCTCAGTGTCCATCCGTGCTGTCACATATGGCAAGGTTTCATATTTGTATGACTGAGCACTATTCTATTGTGTATATGTACCACGTCTTCTGTAGCCAGTCCTCTGTCATTGGGCACTTTGGTTGTTCCCATACCTTGGCTATTGTGAATAGTGCTGCAATGAATGTAGGAGTGCATGTATCTTTTAGAATTAGCATTTTCATATTGTAGATAAATACCCAGAAGTGGAGTTAATGGATCATATGGTAGAACTATTTTTAATTTTTTAAAAGATTTCTTTTATTTATGTATGCATATAAGATCTTGGGTACAGGCCAGAAGTGCAGGGGATGAGAGGATTCGCCAGAGACAGAGTGGGGAGCAGAACAGGCAGATCCACTGCAATACACTGCTGAGGGGAGCAGTGGGTGAAAACAGGAGAGGTCTGCTGTGCCATGTGGGTTGCTCCCTGGCTGGGATCGAACTCTCGCCACAGTGACTGGTGAGAGCTTAATAGCGCTGAGACTTTAACCCCTGCACCACCAGGGAGGCCCCCTCTATGTTTAATTTTTTGAGGCGTCTCCATATGTTTCCGTAGTGGCTACACCAATTTACATCCCCACAACAGTGCCCAATGGTTCCTTCTCTCTGTCCTTGCCTACACTTACTGTTTCTTGACTTTTTGATAATAGTCATGCTAACTAGTGTGAGGTGAACTCTCATTGTGGTTTTGATTTGTATTTCTTTAATGATAAGCAACATAGAACATCTTTTCATCTTAATTTGGACATCTTTTTTTGGTGAAATGCTTATTTTAATCCTCTGCCCATCTTTACATCGGGTTGTATGTTTTGTTGTTGAATTTGTATCAGTTGTTTACATATTTTGGATACTAACTCCTCCTCTGGTAATGGTTTGCAATACTGTCTCCCGTTCTGTAGGCTGCCTTTTTGTTTTAATGATGGCTTCTTTTGCTATGCACAGTTTTGTTTGGTTGGTTTGGCTTTTTTGTTTGTTTTTTAGTCTAATGTGGTCTCATTTGCTTATTTTTGCTTTTGTTGGAATCAAGGCCCCATCACCAAGACCAGTGTCATGGAGTATATTGTCTATGTTTGCTTCTATGTATTTTAAAGTTTCAGTTCTTACATCCAAGTCTTTAATCTATTTTTAACTAATTTTTGTGTACAATGTTAGGTAATAGTCTAGTTTCATTCTTTTATTTGTGGTTGTTCAGTTTTCACACACCATTTGTTGAGGAGACTTTACTTGTTCCATTGTTTGCTCTTGGCTCCTTTGTTGTAAATTAGTTACCTGTATATAAGTGGTTTTATTTCTGGGCTCTCAATTCTGTTCCAACAATGCTTTCTCAAATTGACATCAAAAGTATAAGAAATAAAGGAAAACATGGAAAATTTGGATTTCATCAAAATTTAAAATTTTCGTGTATCAGAAGACATTATCAAGAGAATGGGCTGGAATATTTGAAAATCTCATATGAGAGAAGAACTAGATCAAGAACATATCAAGAACTCTTATAGTATATATAGGTGTTGATTTACAATGATGTACACCCAAAACCTATATAATGTTACAAGACAATGTTACTTCAGTAAAGTATTTCAAAAACTCTGACAACTTAATAACAAAAAGACAACCCAATTTTTAAAAAATCAGCAAAGGATTTAAGTCGACAGTTTTCCAAAGAAGGTGGCCAATAAGCATATAAAAAGATTTGTTCAACACCATTAGTCCTTAGGGAAAAGCAAATCAAAACCACATTGTGATACCACCTCACACCCTCCAGGGTGAGTGCAATAATTACAAGGAGTGCTGAGAATGTGGGGGAAATCAGAGAGGTCATACATTGCTGCAGGGAATGTAAAATGGTGCAACTCAGCGCAAAACAGTTTGACTTTTCTCGGCTCTTTGCATTTAGAATTAGCTTGCCAAGTTCTAAAAAGAAACCTGGTAATATTTTGACTCAAATTGAATCAAACCTATACAAAATTTGGGAATGGACATCTTTAAAGTATTGAATATCCTAACCCAAGAATAT